GATCGAATTTAAATACGGTATCACCGATCACTATGTGATTGTCTAAGATACCTAAATCTTTCATCGTGTCAAAACCAAGTAAGAAATCATATCTGTCATTTACCGGATATACTAGAAGTTCTATATTAGTATCAATACCTAAAGATTTTTTAATATTTAAATCTAATTTATATTGGCCATTGCCTATTCCTGTAGGAGTAGAAATCAAGAATGGTTGTTCTATTACTTTTAAATTATATTGTTCAATTATCATAGGATGAGTATAGTTTTTAGATGCTCCCGTATCAATAAGCCAAATTTTATGAGTAAAATCTTTTATACTAGGTAGCCTTGAAGTATCATTTAAGTGATAAATGGGTTTTGCATTACTAGTACTATTAATATTGGAAATAGAATTAATTTTAAAATTAATGTGGCTTTCGCTGTTATCACTCTACTGTGCAACAGTGCCATCAGATAGTAGATGCTATCTCTGTGACTTTTGAAAAAAAGGAATATTGCTCTGCCGTCTTTCTCGACATAGAGAAAGCATTTGATAGTGTCTGGCACAAGGGCCTATTATGGAAACTAAAACTGCACTTACCTTCCACTTATTTTTTAATTCTTCAATCCTACTTTCTTAATAGATTTTTCTGTCCTTCCGTAGACTCTTCTGTATCTTCCTTCTTTCCCCAACACAAAGGCGTACCACAAGGTAGCGTCTTAAGCCCAATCCTCTATTCTATATACACTTCTGATATCCCTGAGCACCCTAATACCACCATTTATTGCTTCGCTGACGACACTGCTATTCTAACTTCACACAAAAATCCTACTATCGCATCAATTGCCCTACAAAACCATCTTCATGATCTTGAAAAGTGGTTTGAAAACTGGAGAATCAAAATTAATAGTACAAAATCCACACACATTAGTTTCTCTCTTAGAAAAGCCGCATGTCCACCCATAACGATTGCCAATAATCCAGTGCCTTCAAAGAACTATGTACGGTACCTTGGACTCTACTTAGACAAAAGACTTACTAAGAGACCTACTACATCAATAAAAAAATCAAGCAATTACACCAAGACAATAAAAATACAACAAATTTGCTAGATGCGCAGGTGCAAATTGCATAAAATAAAATATATATAATTTTAAAATTAGAAGTATTATTAATATTAGTGTTCGGTTCTGTCATCTCATTTACATGTCGTTCTCGTATGTTTGTTCTATTGGCGGTGGATCGTTGTTGTGTAAGCCTTTGCATAAAAAATCATTGAATTGAGAAGTTAAATTATGGATTTCATCTTTAAGAGATTGGTTTTATTGTTTTAGGTGTGAAATGTCGTCGTTTTCAATGTAGTGAGCTCTGTCGGATACTGTTCTCATGGAAACTGTCTCGGGTTTTTCTAGTTTTTCAAAATTGTGTTGTTGAAGAAATTGTGCTGAGTTAGGTTTATTAAAGTATTTGTGTTGTTCTTGTTGATTTCATTGTGTGTTATGTGATTTTTGATAATTATTTTGATGTTTATAATTATTTTGTGGATGATGAAAGTTTTGTCTATGTTGGTAATGTTGTTGATGTTGAAAGTTTTGTTTATTATGTTGTGAGTTATGATATTCTTGTCGAGGTTTTTGTTGGAATTTATTTTGAACTTGTTTTTGATTGGTGAAGTTAGTCTGTTGTGTTTTCCTAATGCCGTATAATTGATAAACTATAATAGAAAATGTGTTTTTTAACGAATTTTTTATGTCTTCTAAATTGTTATATATTATATGTGTAAATTGGCTAGTTAAAACTCGATGTAAATTAATAATAGCGGTTGTTGCAATTGTTTTATCATAAATTTTAAGATTTCCCGAGTCATTTTCTGTATATAACTTTGTGACTAAGTCTCCATGTTTTTCAATTAATTTATTTATGTAATCTAGTGCATGTTCATTATGTGCAGATTTAATATCTAAAATTTCTTTTAATATTAGTTCGGTACTTTGCGAGTCATAGAATTGTTTCTTTAAGTAATCAATCAGATCTTTAACATCATCGAATTCTTTATCATATCTTGTAACTTTGATAACGCTTGTATAAGAATAGATTTTTGATTTGTAATTCTGTAACCATTATTTATTTGACAAAATTCTTCTGTTAAATATTGTAAATTTGAAATGTATTTAATTAATTTTTGTGGTTGTCCGTCATAAACCGGTACAATTTTAAAGTCGCTAGTATTAATTCTAATATTGGGATTCATTGTTATGTTATTTGATAATTCAGAAATGTTTCTTAACTTATTTAACCTATCACTAAGTGACATATACAAATTATAAAATTATAAAATAAATTTATATTAATTAAATCTAACCTTGTTGCTTGTCTTCTTCTAAAAGGTTCCTTCTAAGTTTATTTAGGCTGAGTTGATTATCAATGTTTCTTCTAACTTGAGTAAGATCTTAAGAGATCAGCAATATTCTTCCTTATTCAAGAGTTTGATGAACAAGTTCCACAGTGACAACTTGAAATTATGATGAAGAAATTCAGGAATAGTTACTGAAAAGCAAGTGTTATATACATTAGTCTTCTGTATGAAGAAATTCCTTGATGAATTCTTGATTGAAGTTCTAAGTCTGAAATCTTTTAAGAATAAGCCCTCAAGTCCTTGTGTTCGGACGCCAATTAAATAATCTTCAACGCTAAATGACTTTAAAAAGAAACTTTATAGAAAATGACAGCAAATATAATATAACTGGTCTAATTTCTATCCAACATAATAACTAGTCTACTTCCTAACTAATAATGACTATGGATTCTGAATAGTGAATTATGAATTGTCTCACGCTAAGAGGAGATCGTATTTATAAGGATAAAGAAAGGAAATGAGTCAGTGCTAACATTGCACTAGCTCGGACCTTTAAGTGTATATATATATATACACACATATATATTATTATTTAGGGAAATCCCTTGTTTCACAGCATTTGCTGGTTACAGCACATTACCCTAACTTAAGTCAAGGGTAGGCTAACCAAATTAATCTGTTACATTCATAAATTTACGAACAATACTAGCTGTTCCGAATAACACCGCTTTCTGTATCAGCTCCAAACAATTTATCGAAATGCCTAATTCCTTCCCACTGTTATGTCCGGAATCAGACCATTTGCAGAGATGACCAGTGGCAAAACCCTCACTGTATCAAGTTTATATACTTGGTTGAGTTCCTTACCAAGGACTTGATATTTGCGAATCTTTTTTGCAACCACCTTGTGAAGGTTATCATCCGATGGCACCCCTATTTCAGCAATCTTTGCATGGCTCTCATCCTTCAAACCGAACAAAATATCAGGCCTGTTGTGTGGAATAGTGTGGTCTGTTATGATGGTTTGGACACAGTATAGCTTGACGTGCCGTTTATCAATGACTGATTGTGGTCTATACTTGTAATAACGTCAAGTGTCGTCTATTTCTTTCCAATTCCAAATTTCTTGGCTAATACCTGATGCATAATCTTAGCCATGTTGTTGTTTCTAAGTAGATATTCGTTTCCAGCAAGCACTTGACATTCTGATGTGATGTGCTGGATAGATTCTGTTGCTGTTTTACACAGTCTACACAATTCAGTTACAGCTTCTCCGCAAATATGGTGCCTATAGGCCTTTGTAGCGATTACCTGGTCCTGTATGGCTATAACGAATCCTTCCGCTTCAGGAAACAGTGTACCCCTAAGTAGCCACAACAGAGACGCATCCTTATCAACTCATACTGCCGATAAACTATGGTAAAATCTTCCATGTAGCTCTTTGGACTTCCACGTTGAAGATTCAAAGCTGTATAATCAGAGTCCAGCGCTGCAATAGCTGAGATGACCACAGATGAACTACTGACTCTAAAATAGTTACGGAGTTTTGCTTATTCCTCGCGTCATGATTTTAATAAACTTGAAAGCCCTCGTCCTGCCTATTTTCTTCATAGATTCATTCTTACAACGGATAATTTCGGATGACGTTTCCGGAAGTTCGTCATTTGCACTCTTAGATAAGAATCTATAGTATCCAGATCTGTATTGGCCCATTTTAAAATGCCAAAGAAATAAGATAAAGCTGGACTCGCCCATGCATTTTTTTTTCCAGAAAGATATATTTTGAGGATGATCTTTACACGACTCTTGAATTTATCCTCGAAATGCTTTTCAATGTTTTTCTTAAATTTTAAAGACTGATAAATACCAAGATACTTGTACGAGTCATTTTCGTTCAGGCTGTTAATCACTGCCTTATTAGAGAGCTCCATATCATTTGCATCTTTAATCTTTCGCTTGTTGACATGCAACACAACACATTTATTCAGACCTATTTTCATCTTGATGTCTTCACTGAAGATCCGTACTATTTCGAGAAGGCTTCGCATATCGTTTTCATTCTTGCCATACAACTTTAAATCGTCCATGTATAAAGAATGGGTAACAACATTTTCTGCACTAAGTTGATAACCCTTACCTGATGATTGCAACAAGAAGCTCAAAGGATTGATCGCCCAACAGAACCAAAGTGGACTTAGAGAGTCCCTTTGAAAGATTCCTCTATTTATCGAAAAAATTTTCATTGGTAGAGGTGTTTTCTTGCCAAGCAATAATAATAATTATTATTATTTTTTTCATTACTACAATGGTTTGCCTACAAAAGTAATTTATCTTTCTTTTCTAATTTCATTTAGTTATTTTTACTTTATTGTTTTTAGCAGCTATTTTTCAGTATTGTGACCTTATTGCTCATCTTTTTTCTTTAATATATCTTTATAGCTAAGTAAATACTTCCTTTATTTCTTATGTTTTAGTTATCATTTTATTGTGTTAGGTCTTTTGGCTAGATTTAATGTTAATTTGTATGAACAATATTTTCATTCTTAAGGGACTTAAGAGACCGGAATAAAGTTGATTATTCTATTATATTCTATTTAAAATTTATATAATCATTTATTATTTATTTATATAATTTATTTGTTTATGTCTGTGTTCTTATAGGTTAGTTTATAAATGGTTTTATTTCATTTATAAACTGAGTTATGCTCTTGGTTTAGTGGGATATTGTTTAATGGTAATAGCTGTGTCAGGTCTCAACACGATTATTGGTATTAAAGCTGAAACGATGATGGATTTTGGAGTATTATGTTTGTTTTATGGTCTTTACTATGGAGTTTTGGGACAGGATATAGCAGAAATATCAAGTGATAAAATGGCTTCACACATTGGTGTAAGTATCAACCTTTAATCTTTTCAAACTATGGAATATGTAATGATTGTCAACAATAAAATAAAAAGAATTTAGTAAGAATGTTTTTATGTGTTTTGAGCAGAAATAATTTATAGGAAGGAAATTAATAAATGCTGGCCATAAACAGACAGATGCAACTCACCTCCCATAGTCCCATAATTAACAGGAACAGTTCGCCTCTAGCCGGTCGATCTAACTGGTCCTTTAACGTCGCAGTTGGGCAGGTCGATGAATGTTCCATTGAAGAGAATAGTCTCCCATTCATTTGTGGATGGGAAAACCTCTTGAGTTTTCTATTGATTTCCGTGCTGTGACGAGAACTATATGTTATCATGCCTTGTGATAGGCCATGCTTTCTTTTTGCTACTTGTTCATGTAATGTGATATCAATGAGAGGTGAGCTGTCCCGGATGTAGCCGATGATTTCGTCACTGATACGCATTGGTACACTTAATATTTATCATATAGCTAGCTATATTCAAATAAAATATTTTCCTATGTAGGCAATGTTATAAAAAAAAAAAAATTAAATTATAACCTGTGCTAGCAGCAACATTCTACCCACCAAATTTTTTTTTTAAATTTTAAACGTGCACAGAATCATTAAACTTGGTGTTTGACACCATAGGAAAAGCCGCTCACCCCGAGAAAGCATCACAAGTCATGGAAATGCGTAGTGGTTTACTTGAATAGGATGTTTCCTCCAATTCTTCTTGGAAGAATGGTTTTGTTGGATGAGAAAGAGCAAGAATGGGTGTCGAATGATAATAGAAAAAAATAGAATAAATTTAAAGAATAGAGCAACCTGAGTTGTAAGTTCATAGATCTATTATCAGGGCTATTAAGAATAAAGGTGTATGCACCTTATACACAGGTGTAAAAGTTACCTTACACATGATTATTTGAAGTCATATATATAAAAATGACACAAGTGAAAATAAAAAACAAAGGAGGTGGATTGTGAATTACTACATGATAGTTGATAATTACTACATGATGCCCTCCATGCAAAGAACATGGGAATCACAGAAACAGGCAGGTGTCGAATGAAAAGCTCCCCAGAACTATTTTCAACTCCTTAAGTGTTAGGAATGGATTATTTTACATTTATAAGCTTAGAGACTTTGCGCCTTCATTGCACTAAAGAAGTTACCAGAGTACTATTCAAAGTGAAATTGAAGAATAAGGTGGAAGATCTGATACTAATTCAAGGAATTGCAAAGTGGTGGCAGTAAGATGTTCGTTGGCGTTGATTAAACCCCTGATGAAGCTTCAAACTTAAAATTTAGTGATTGGAGAGTAATAAAAACTGCATACGTTATTTGAGATGGAACAAAATTATGATGAGACCGGTAGAAATATGTAAAGGATTAATGGTTTTGATCTGCAGATTTCAAAATAACAATTCCACTTTGTGTGAAGAAACGTTTTTAGATTACATCAGAAACTATAATTGAAGGTTTGATAGGCTATAAATGAAGTTGCTAACATCAGAATTAATAAATTGTTCTCTTAGGCAGATTCTAAAGAAATGATCTAACTTATATATCCGCCATCTTGTTAATAACACAAGAGTTCAGGGCAGAAATATAAGGAAAATAAGATTAATATGTATCTCCCATCCGAATTTAATGTATGATTGCTCTAAGCAGCTGTACAGCTTGCTGATTGGCTGAAGACCTATTGGAAGTGAAATACAGCGGTTGATCATCTTTTGGCCAAAGAATTGCCTGTAAGATGTTTGTGTTATGAGACTCAGAAATAGCTCGGCAATGGGATATTGTGGAATGAAGCTCATGAACCCTGGTCAATTTTAATTGGTGACTGACTAGTAATCTCATGGAGGTACGATGTAGTCTAAGATCAGCCGGAGGAAGCAAAACGTCGTTTAATTTATTAGGATCTGAAGCAGCTGGACATTCAGAATCTAAGGTATGAGGTAGCTCTTGGAGCTCAGTTGCATCATGATGACAGCCTTGTGGACCTCTTGGAGATGTTCTGCAAATGTGGGTCATTTTAGGCAGAAACGATTCCCAATGAAATTTTGTTGGTTTTGTTTAAGTATGGCGTAGCTGGCTACACGGCAATCAGCTGTTTCATGTGTTATACTTCTATGACCAGGCGTTCGCAGATGGCTCCCTCTAAGGGCCCAAAGATCATTGTTTTGTATCTTTCTAGTACAGTTGTGTGTTTGGCCAGATAAATAATTATTTTGTATTCGTTTTTCCACGAATTTTTGGAGCTATTCCGATGGATCCCCATCATAAATGTTTTATAATATAAAGCATTATTGGGGGGCCCCGCTGAGGGTCTCGAATATTGTTAATTTGCATTTTTTTAGTACTGTGGTATGTTTGGCTTGAAAAATAATTGTTTTATATTCGTTTATTTCTGAAATTTTCTGAGGCTCCTCCAATGGACCCCTAATATATGTTTTTTACTTTTTTATCGCAGTAATATGATTGGGGACCCCCTCTTACGGCTCCGAATATCGTTACTTTCTATTTATCTATTACCCCCAAAAAAATTGTTGTGTATTCATTTATATCCGCAAATATATTCTTATAATATACGTGTGTGTGGTTTTTTTTTAATTGGGCAGATGGAAATCTTCAAATACACGAATAGGACCGTACCTATTCTCATTTGGGATTCTTACCCACTAAAACCAACCTCTCTTCACCTGTTCATTTCCCTCCACAGAACCGCCGTTAGTCATTACTTGATGAAGGGTAATGGCAATATGCCTTTTCATTTTTTATCGTCATGAAACATTTATCTCCTGATCCTTTCTTCCTCTCTTAATTTCTCCAGGACAAATCTAGCGAATTTCTTCACAGCTTCCCATTGTTTGTCTGTTTGTAACATAAGCGTCACCAGATTTTCGGGATTGATATTTACTCCACACCAATTCTCCGATTTTTTTCTTTCCACATCGAAGCGGTGGGGACAAATCATAGCAAAAAATTCTGTGATCATTATTTAGAAGATCCAAAATCTTAATATAACAAGGAACTGATAGAAACATTATTTATTGAAAGAAATATGGAAAAGACAGATGAAAAGAGTAGCACTATAACTATGCATTTATGAGAACCGAATGAAGTGGTAGAGGACTTGAGGTGCCTACGCCAATGCCACTTCACCACTGATTAAGTGTATTTTCTAAAGAACTTATTCAATTATGTTAAAAAATTAATCAGTGATTTAGAAAGATAAACGTACTATCTAGATGTTTTATATCATGCTTTTTTTCGTTATTGTTGGACATTTAATTACTAATGATACTTGATTTTCAACTTTATTTTGAACGACTTGAAAAAATTTACTTTACTATTTTTATTGCATTACTTTTGTATTTTTATTGCCAAGGCCGACTATTTTTTTATGCTTTACTATTTTCTGACCATTCAGCTTTAATAAAAAACCAATTATGACGAAATTAAGCCAACTGCTGCAATCTCAGTGATCGAAAAACTAACTCAAGTTAAAAAAGTCAATCAATCAAAGTCAATGTTTGGACACCATTTTGGGACAGTGCGGCAACTTTTTTTTGTGGGAACATTAGCTTTTTTTTTTATATAGTTACATGGAACACAACGATGTACAATTTATAGTGAGGCGGGGGTAGAGTGCACGGGAGGGGCCTCTGGCCTACAGACTACAATCTCCCTCCAAACCTCCCCACCCCCTCTCAATCACCTCTCCTTAAAAATATTAAAATGAATAAATGTTTACTTCACTGACTCATATCAGAGAGGTTATTGAAGATAAAAGACAATTGCATATGATCAAATATGAAAAATAATTTAAATGGGAAACAAACTTTGAAAACCTCTATCTCGTATATTATGTTATTTATCGAGCTGGCTCTTGTCTTAAATTGTGGCGTATTTAATCTAGTTTAAATAAGTACAGTTTATTTGTTGTCAAAAACGTGCTGCTTCATTGATTAAATGGGAAAAAGTGCAAAAATATAGCAGTTTTTGGAATATTCAAAAGTGATCCAGGGAGGGGTGGGGGGAGGGGTAGCGCCGAGGCTCGAAAACTGAATGGTTATTTAATATTACAACTAGAACAAATGTTAATTGATTAAATGATTGAAATACAATTTATAGACTATAATTAATATGATGTCACACAAATGTTATGCTAGTTATAGCTTTAAATATTAGCCATTATAACTTAACAATTAGTTATAAGAACTAATTAGGTACTTATCAGTAAAGAGAAATAGCTGAAACTTGAAATTATATTGTATTTAATAATTGAGTAAATAACTATTACCATTTTAATAGAAATGAATATTTCTAATGAAATAGAAATCAATTTAACATGCTAATTTTAATATTGAAATTATCAGGCCTGACTGGACATGTTTAAGAATGAATGTCACCAACTTAATAAGCAGACACTCAAATCCTTTTTTTGAAAGTAGTGGACTGTATGAAATAACAAATCAACATAAATGTTCAAACAGAAATTAAACTATATTTTTCTAAGTACTAACGAGAAAAAAGGAAAAACCACAAGTGATGTACCCTATATGATATAGAGTGTATTTACAGGGTGGCCTGTAAGTAGGGGGAAATTTTTTTAAGAGTGAGAGCAGAACTCATGAGCTACTAAATAGTTCATATAAACAATGGGCAGCAGGAAAGTAGGGAATCCAGGTTTTTGTATTTTTTTTTTTAGTAAGTCATGCTTTTTGTTGAATAGGAAGCGATGACTAAAGAAGTTTTTAATTTAAGCAATTAACTATTGCTTCACTGTAAACTAGACAAAATTTAGTTATAAACGAAAATAGAGTTTGTTATTTTTAAAACCATTTAAAGAGGCCTTTTGAGCGGCAGAACTAAGCTAAGTTCTGTTTCTTAAAAATCATAAATTATTCGCGATTTTTTTTTATCATGATTCAACTAGACTGCAGATACCCCACTTTAAAAAAAACTTCCTCCTTTAATAAGCTTTCAGTCAAT